GACCATAAAGCAGGGGATGCTTTAGGGCGGAGCTACTGTGATTGACAGGTCACTGCCAGAGCCATATACGACGTCATTACGTCACTCCTCCGCATTCCAAATATGGTCATTTCAGTTCATTGGTTGCAAAAAACATGCAGACGGCAAAATCGCCAAACTCAAGGCTTCAAAGCGACAGTCCACAAACCAATGGGTGACGTCACGATAACTACGCCCACTTCTTCTATACAGTCTATGAGTCTACTGCTAACAATTATTGTAGTTTCTTTGTAGCAATAACTGGTAATGACAACACCAAAAATAAGAAGGTGCCCTTGCTGTGTCACAAACTGTGGACAGGTAACAACTGCATACTGGTTTGTACAAATGTATTGGATGGTAGAAGAACCATCACACTGTCAGCAGAGACATGTCCCGAGGAAAGAGTGTCATACCCATCACACTATCAGTCTGGCTAAACTAACCAACTAAGTACTATCGAATGTTCATATGAGCTCATGTGTGTTCACCTTGCTGCGGAGCTCATCCTCCATGGAGAAGTAAACAAAGCGGATACAAGCAGTGACTAGGGCATCGATGAGCCGGACCGTGTCCAGCCTCGCCTGGAACTGGGACGATACCATGCCCATGAAGATCTGCCCACTGAGGGCCTGGACGCAGTCCTCTCGCTCCACGCCCTCACCTATACCCTCTGAAGACATGAAGGGGAAAGATAAGGAAAAAAAAAAAAAAAGATATGAGAAAACTTGTATTATTAATCTAAACTATACGTCCCTCTGTCAATTACTCGTACCGTCCGAGCTCCAGCTGTTCCTGCAGGAGTTGTGTTTGATGGGGGTGGTGGAGGGCAGATCCACCCCGGAGAAGAGGTAGGGACCAGGGGCCAGCTCCACGCACTTCCCATTCAGTTGGCCGGACAAGGAGACTTGCATGGGTTTGTAGGCAAATGCCGAGCAGTAACCGGACAAACAGGCACGCTGGTAGAAGTCCAGAACCTTCTTTCTGTTACGGGAGAAGGGACAGAAAGTAAATACCGAGAGAAAGAACGCCAGAAATATGGATGCTACGGCCTCGTAATTCATAAGGTGAATTCTGTGATTCTTTATGTTTGACTGAAGGTTTACAGCACAGTGAAAATGATCAGTGTGACAGACACTGCACCTGTCTGAGCCTGAGAGGGGATAGATATCAGTTCCATCCCAGAAGTCGGTGCACGCCTCCAGGATGAGCTCGGCTGAGCCATGCGACAGCATCTGGACGTGATCTGCAAACAGAAAAAGGTCAGAGGTCATAACAGAGTGACATAACATAAGCAATAAAACGGAAAAATTATTCTCTTTTTAACTCAAGAAAAAGCATAATTAGCACAGTAAAAGTTCATTTAAAAAAAGAAAAAAAAAAGTTAGTTCATTCAAAATTGTAAAATAAAACAAAACATACTGGTGGGACAATGACAATGGTAAGGTGAATGTGTGTGGACTCACTGGAGGAAGAGTCTCGTGCAAACAGGGAGATAAGATGGGAGATGGGAGGCTGACGTTTGGTGAAGTAATGAAGGTGGCGGGAAGTGAACTCCTTGGTCTTCTCTCCTGATGGCAGCTGGTACAGAGCCAAGTGATTCTCCTGTTTAAACAGCTCCCGAGCACCAGGAGTGAACCCTGACACACACACACACACACACACACACACACACACACACACACACACA